TTATATAATTGCATTTGACTTTTAGGATGACCACAATGCCTTTTTAAAATTTGCTTTGAAGTCTCACCATAGCCATAGTTAAGAAAGGTAACTCTTTCCATTCTCCCCTCTTTTTTTTTTAATGCTGTGAATTTTTATATTGAGGCCACATAGACATTTGGAGCTTATTGTTGCATATGGTATAAGGGTCTAAACCAGGGGTTTTTAACCTTCTTTTGTGTCATGGGCCTCTTTGGTGATTTGGTTAAGCTAATGGATCCCTTCTCAAAATAAAGTTTTTAAATACATAAATTAAAATAGAACGGATTACAGAGAAAACCAATTAACTGAAATACAGTTATCAAAATATTCTTAAAATAGGTTCATGAATTCCAGGTTAGAAACTTCGTCTCAATCTACTTTCTGCCAAAGTGCTCTCCAGTATTCTCAGCACTTCCTGTTGAAAGGGGCATTCTTCCCCTAGTTGTTTATAGTCTGTGGTTTATTGAACAATGGGCTACTGTATTTGATTTCTTCTCTGCCTTGTCTATCTCTTCTGCGCCACACATCTACATTTCTATTTTTTGAACAATATCAAAAAGTTTGGGTGATTCTTCATAATATAGTTTGAGGTCTAGTAATGCTGTTACACTTCCTCCATTCCTGGCTTTTTTCCTTTCATTATTTCTCTTGATATTCTAGACCTGTGCTTCTACAAATGAATTTCATGATTAGTTTCTATTGTTTCATAAAATAGCTCTTCCGTAGTTTAATTGGTATGTTCCTAAATCTGTATACCTCTGTTAGTGTTTTGTTTGTACCTTCACTGGCACTTACAACATTCGACCTTTTGTTTTACTTATTTCTGATCTCCGCTTGAGGATGGCAAGAGCCATGTCTTATTCTTCTTTGCATGCTCCATGGACCACACCTAGAATCATGCCTTGGATTTGCAGAGTTTTTGTTTTAATCCAACTCCCACCTTTTGCAGATGATGAAGCTTAGGTGTAGAGCATTGAAATTACTTGTCCATTGTCATGCAGGTAGGTAATTCCAGACCCTGAATTCAAACTCTGCTTCTTCAGACTACAAATTCAATGCTCTTTCTTACTAAACCAAATGTTAGTTGAATGAGTGAGTGAACTAGAATTAGGACCCTGTGGTCAGAGTGAGGCATGCCTGTATGTAGCTCAAAGCAAAGGTCACCTTTTAAAAAAAAGAAATTAGCATATAAATGATGATGTGTCTTGAAGCTACCTCTTTTGAAAACAAAATTGAAAGGAAGCATAACAATTTGTGGTTAAACTAGAAAATGGTTTCAGGACGTGCTGTACCCTCTACTGCTACATAACAAGCAGTCCACAATATAGAAAATAGAGAGGGTGATCTGAAATGAAATGTGGTCAGCATATCTGACTGTGCTGTAGGGAGACCTTTAGAAAAAATAACAAGATGCTTATGTTGAAAAGGACCCTGGTTAATCCTTTGGAATTCTGAGTTTTGGGGGTTCTCTTTGGAAAAGTTTCACTGTTTACAGGAACAAGTATCTGTTTCATTGCACTTACATCATCATCATCATCATCATCATCATCATCATCATCATGGTTGTTGTTGTCATTGTTGTCATCATGATGACCATACTACTAGATATATTTGTTATTTGGAGCAAGAGACTTTACCTTTTATGTTTCAATTTCTTTACATATAAAATGGAATAAAATAGCACTAATTGATCCCAGAATTCTCGGATTCTGTATTTGCATGATCTTGTCTAAAGGAGACTTTGGTACAGAAAAGCCCAAAATACTTTGACCATTTTGCCATTGATATTGTCTACCATGGCCTTTTGAACCAGGTAGAGGACCAGATGATCGCAGGTAGTCCGAATGGAACAATTGAAAGGCCAGAAATATGGATATTGAGCCAGAAGCACCTGCCTTAAAGGGTTGTTATGAGGGTAAATGAGATAGTATTTGCATAGTGCTTAGCATAGTGCCTATCCTGTAGTAGGTGCTATTGAAATGTTAGCTATGGTGATGATTATGATGATGAAACGTAATTCTTTGAAGTAGCCAAAACCTTGGGTACCTTTCCCTCTTTTTACTTGCATGATCCCAGAGCAAGTCATTTAATCCACCTTTGCTTAAAGTTCTTACACCAAGAATTCCCCATGGTGATAAAATCATGGATCTTTTCTTAATTGAATCTGTCTCATGAAATTGATTAAATAACTCTAAACTTTCTTGTGTGATCACCTACTTTATATAGAAGCAAGAGACTATCAGTTCGTGCATCATCTTATCACCCATTTCTATATATGTTCTAGGATCATAGATTGTAGAGCTAGAAAAAACCTCAGAAGAGAATCTAATCTGTGATAAGCTGAATTTACTGAAATCTGCTATAAAATGTAATAAAACTCCATTATAACAAACACAGCATGTTCTCCTATAGATTCATGTAGGCTCATGGTTAAATCATACTCCTAGAATTCAAGCTACTATAGACAGTAAACTGTGACCTAACATTCTTGTCCTAACTACACAAATGTTGTTCTTACCCCTGACACCTGCCTTATAAAGGGGTTTAAAGGATCATAAGTATGGAGCTAGAAGGACCATTAAAGGTTATCTCACCTGCTAAATGCTTATTCTTAATAACAAGGAAGTTTTTTTTTTATCATACTTGGATAATTTAATGAATGAAGTGAGGGAAGAAGCAAAATGAAACTATTGATTGTTGTCCTTCATTCTCAAAGAGGACCAAAATGATATCACTAAGCTAGAGTCAAGTTTTAGTGTGTCTGACTGTCGCTGATCAGACTAATATGAGCTTGGAATGTCCTATCATAGGACAGGCACAAATGGTCCATGTGAACATTTGGGGTAGATTCTCTAAATTTGCACATCTTGTTTTTCTTGTGAACTACTTCAATTCTGCTTTGCTCATAGAGCACAGCACCTTCTCTGATGTGGGCACCCCATGCTGAGTGGTCCTGTGCCAATGTCTCCTATGTCACACAATCAATTCCAAAGTTCTTAAGAGAGACCTTGAGAGTATCCTTGTATCATTTCTTCCGATCACCATGTGAATGCTTGCCCTTTGTGAGTTCTTCATAAAATTTGAACCATATGAAATGATATTAACTTCTCAAGTGCTCTAGTAAACTCTAAGACTATATGTTGCAGAGAAGGTGCTGATCCATATTGGGAGAAGGTTTCCTCAGCTTAGTTCCCTTTATTGATGAAATCACAGGTCCAGTTCCTGTTACTATCCCTATGTTAAGGAAACATACTCAAAAATATTTTGTCAATATGGGCATGCAATAAAAATTTTTTGGAGATCACTGGTGAAGTTCTCAGTGTCATTTGGGTTCTCTTAGATCAGATGTGCTCAGACTAGCAAATTATTCTTTAGGAAGACTTTTGGAAAAATAACAAGGTGCTTTTATCATATATGTGAGAAGCTCTTATGTTATATGTGTAAGATGCTCACATATATTAAAAAGCTCCCAGGAAGGCAAATGGTGATTCTTAAAAGCCAGCATAAATTCATCAGTAAAGTCATGTTAGACCAATGATATTGCCTATTTTGATCAGACCACTAGGTCAGTGTTTCAGGAGAATTCTGTGGATATATAGTAAACTTGGGTTTTTCATCAAGATTTTTGACAAAATCTTGCATGACATAATTATAGATAAAATGGAGAGAGGTGGACTCAATGATAAGACATTTGAATGGACTGCTAACTGGATCAACAAGTCCAGTGAGTAAAGGGATTGATGGGAAGTTGGATGGAGATTCCTAATAGATACCTAGAGATTTGTTATTAATTGGTCTTAGCTATTCAACATTTTCATCAATAACTTGAGTGAAAGTAATAGGGGACATATCCACTATATTTAAGCCATTTGCAAATGGCCTAAAGATGGGAGAGACCTAACACATTGGATGTTTTTTGAAATAGGGATCCAAAATGAAGTTGACAGACTAACACAACAGATTGGATCATATATCATATTGAAGTATAAAAAGATTACTAGTAAAGTCCTAAATTCTAGTTTAATAAAATTAGCTGCACAAATAAAGAATTGGGAAAGTATGGTTAAACAACAGTTCATGTGAAAAAAGACCTGGTGGGTTTTAGTGGACTGCAAACTCAATATGAGTCAATAAAGCAACGGGACAGCTGGGTTAATGAAAGCATTATATCCAGGATGATAGAGAGGATAGTCTTGCTATCCTTTTCCTATCTCAGATCACATTTAGAATACTATTTCCAGTCCTGAGTACCACATATTAAAATCGAAATTGACAACCTACAGCATGTCTACAGGAGGGTGAATATGACACAGGAATTTGAAATCATACCATAGAGAGACTCAGTTTAAGGAACTGAGATTTTTTTGGACTAGAAAAGATTTGGGGTGGGTGGGGTGATAAATTGTTTTCAAATGTTTGAAGGATTGTCATGTGGAAAAGGGATTCAACTTCTGCTTAGAGGAGATAAGAACTAGGACCAATGGAAAGACATTACATAGAAGCAGATGTTAGCTTAACAGGAAAAACTTCTCAACAGGAAATTGGCCATCTTGGGCATGAAGGGAATGGAGTGGTCAGTGCCTCATCACCTGAACACATCAAAGAGAAGCTGGATGGATGCTTGCCAGAGGATTCAGGATTCGGATGAGGTCAGAGTAGGCAGCTTCATAGTTTCCTTCTTTGGATTCTATGATTCTTCATAATAGAAGGAAATACAAGGAATATTAGAGTCATTTCTGGAGACTTGAGGCTGGACTACATGACCTTGAATATTTGTTCCATCATCCTGATAGAACTTCGGAGTGTTTTTCAAGAGAGAGGAAGGGAGGGAGGTTGATTATGAAGTAGAAATCACATGCTTACCTGGTATAGGGGGAACATGGTTTAGTCTTTAAGACCATCTTCAAGAGTTTCTTTGAATATCAAAGATGCCCATAATATAACCTCACTTTTAATATTGACTTTTTCTTATCTTTCAGTTTGAAATAGAAATTCAGAGGATTTCAGAAGCCTATGAGAGTCTAGTCAAGTCTACCACCAAGCGAGAGTCTCTGGACAAAGCCATGAGGAACAAACTAGAAGGAGAGATCAGGAGACTTCATGATTTCAATAGAGACCTACGAGGCATGTTCATTTCTATGTGCATTTTCCACTCCAAGTTCTGGATACTTTGTTATATTCCTTACTTATCAACATTCAGAGTTTTCTTTGTCATGGAGCAGGGTTTCTCCTGTGCTAGATAAGCTAGAGAAGCTAAACTGAATTTTTTGATTACTAAAGGGTAGAATCATTTCTGTCTGCCTTGTAGGATGTTATATTGCTTTATGCATTAGAATCATTGATATTTATGTATTTATGTGTGTACATGTATATTTTCCTTTTGTTAAAAAATAATGCTACTTGATAAGATGTGGTTAAGGACAGAAAAATGTGGATATCTTTCCCAGGGGATTCCAAACCCAAATTTAATAAATAAATTTTCTTCATCTACCCACTCCTCCAAACAAAGAATTGTAAAGATTATATGGACCATTGGCATTTTAACTGGCTGTCTTCCGTGGGTAGAATTTTATCCTTCCTCAGCTCTGCCTCCTGGCTTCTCTGGCTTCCTTCAAGTCCCAGCTGAAATCCTACTCTCTACAGGAAGCCTTTCCCAACTCCTCTCAATTCTAGTCCTTCTCATTGTTGGTTATTTCCTTTTTGTATTATGTTAACTTATCTGCACATAGCTTTGCTTATTGTCTCACCCATTAGATTATGAGCTCCTTGAGGGTGGTGACTGGTTTTGTTTTTTGTTTTTGCTTATTTTTGTATCCCCACTACTTAGCATAGTGCATGGTGCACAGTAGGTGCTTAATAAATGCTTTTTTGATGTACTGCTCAGAGATGGGAGATTACCTACTCTAGAGTTCTGAATATTTTGTGAAGGGAGAAAACAGTCACCCTCTAAATCCCACCTTGTCTTGCTATCATTAACAAGCTTTTTTTTTTTTAGTGCCTATCACACATACTACATGGTAGTTACAATCCCCAATTATCATGTTCCAGGTTTTCCTTCATCAAGAGTCACGGTCCCTCTGTCCATATTTATTCAACTGTACTAATCAAAATGAATAGGACATTTGACCGCATACTATGTTGTTGAATAAATTTAAAGATATGTCAAATGTCTCTTAAGATAAGAAGTCTCTACCCTGTGCCTATGTCCCCTTTTCAAGTTATTTTGATATGGTATGTATACCTTCTAGGTGTTTGGAGATGTTGGGACCAGCCCTGTTTGAAATTCAGATGATAGGGCCTTTCCTCCTTCCGTGGCATTGGGTTTCAGAACAAGAAGGCCAAGCCTCCTGGGAAGGGCCCTGTTTTCAGTAGGCTTCCTGTCTTGGCATGCAGGAAAGGAACAAATATCCAAACGTGCCTTTCTCAGAAACTTCCCTGGAACTTCAATTCATGCCCACAGGGACTAGAATTACATTAATTTGCTAGAAGACACCAACTTGAGCCTACCCCTAGAGACTCTTCTTTTTATGACTTGGAAACAGAAGTACTATACCTCCCCAAAGGGTCAGGAAGATAGTATTTTTTGCCAGTTTCTTGACCTTCTGGATCTCCCCAATTTTTTTACCTCCTGCCTGACCATTGATTCATGCCCTCCTCTTGGCACCCATCTTGTTTTCTTGGTGGACTGATGATTTTATATTCATATGTATTTGTTTTTAAAGCATTTCCTGTTTATGTGTAGACCGCCTGGAGACTGCCAACAGGCAACTAGCCAGCAGGGAATATGATGGGCATGAAGATAAAGCAACAGAAGGTCATTATGCTTCCCAGAGTAAGTATTCAAATTTATTTGTTCTGAAAATTTTTTTAACAAACTTGGGCAGTGGAAGAGAATCATGATAACTTGGAGAGATACTTTGCTGGTATTTGCATTTACCCATTAATTCAGCATGTAACCTGCTTGGACCACAGACCAAGTACTATACAGGCCTGCCAAATGTGGAACAGAGGGAAATATTGCTACCATAAATTTAGTTTTAGGTCTAGCGTCTCCTCTCTGATTTATGATTTTTCTCTTTCTTTGGGTAAGACTCCAAAGGTGGGGAGTGGGGAAGAAACTTTGCCACACTTTTTTAGATCAGACATGCAAAACAACCTTGATGTTTACTTTTTTTGGGTTGGTCTGGAGTGGAAAGGGAGCTGGGACCGTTGTTACTATGACTCACTCTCTAGCACTCACTTATTTTTCATAAGTGAGCAGCAGTTCTAGGCCCTCTACTCTTAAAAGCATTTGGGACATAACGAAATTGTGTTCCCCAAATAAATGGAAGAAATTCCTTTATTCTACCTGGAGTGGTTGGGGAAGATATTTCATCAACACAAGTAGGAAATACACATGGCTTATAAGAAGCTATTGATCAAGGCTTAGATTCATGAAAAGTGGGATTGTGCTTGGAATCAGAATGGGAAATCTAGGTCCAAACACACATCTGGGCAGGAGTAGTTTCCATAGGATTCCTGATAAGTGGACATAGCATTTCTGCTTGAAGATCTCCCATGATGGGGAGATCTTGAGGTAGTCCGTTCTACTTTTGACAGCTCAAATTTGTAGGATAGTTTTCCTTAGATCAAGCCTAAGGTCTGATTCTCTGTGAGTTACACTCATTCTCCCTTCTTCTGCCCTCTGGGGCTAAGCCGAATAAGTTGAATCCTCTTTCCAAGTAACAGTCCTGTGAGTCCTGGAAAACGCTTCCTCTTTTTTTTTCTTCCTTTTTCTCCAGGCTAAACAAGCAGCCCCAGTTCCTTCAAAAGTCTTCTGTGGCCTAGTTTTGAGCCTCTTCGTCATCCTCCTTACCTTTTTCTAGCTGCACTCCAGCTTAACAATATTCTTCCTAAAATGGAAGAACAACTATCCCATGGTGTTGTTATTTATCCCTGGATAGAACTCCAAGATTGGGGCGTAATTAGTTAAGTCTTCTAGTAACTGTTACCATATTTTATTTTCTTTGCCAAAGCTTCTTTGGTTAGGTTTACATTTGGGTCAAAACTCCGTTTGTTTCTCATTAGTTTTGGCTGTTTGTGCTTATACCCCAATACCCCTTTCCAGATTAATTTTTCTCGAAGTCAAAAAAATTATTATCTTTTTTTTTGTTTTTATAACACTTTTTTTCCATTTGTATTTGCCTTCCTGCCTTCCCCAGAGAACAATCTTCTCTAACAATGGATAAGAAAGAAAGAAGGGAAAAAGCAATTCAATAAAACTAACCAGCACAACAGCTGAGTCTGATGTCATCAGACTTGTTCCACCCTCATAGTCTTCTACACGTGCTTTTGTAAAGAGAAGGATGACCACTGTATGTGAGATGGGAGTGAAGGAGGAGATAGGGACAGAAGACATCTGGCTGATGTGAGATGAAGAGAAGGGAAGAAGAAGAAGCTCTTGGTGAATGACCTCATTTTTTCAATGAAATATGAGGCAAGGATTTTAGTCATGGCAGGTTTGAGGATGGATGAAAAAGTTTGGAGGAATAAAAGGATTGCCTGGCAACAGTGAAGGTCTAAATGAATGTATATAATATAGATTTGTAATGCACCCAGTCAGCACAGTTTTATGATTTTGTCCAACTTCAATCAGCAGTATGCATGTAGGAGCAAAGACAATGGATGGTGGTAGTGATCTAAGATTGAGGTTTGGCAGGAAATGTTGATGATATAATAAAGGGGCAAGGGACGAGAGAAGAGGACAGCATAGAATTGACTGGTTCACCAGTGGGTCAAGAGAGGAAGAGAGAAAAGTACAGCCAGGGAAAGAACTGAGGGCTAATTAGAGGTCCTGGTGAAGATAGAGAACAAGATTTGGAGTTGCCAGGCAGAGTAAGAGGTTGAATGGAATGCTAATCTGATGAGTGTGAGATGGAATCTTAGAGTTATTTTACTTTGCATTTCTCTGTTTATAAGTGATTTGGAACATTTTTTCATATGGCTATTAATAGCTTGGATTTCTTCTTTTGAAAACTACCTGTTGATAAACTGATAAGTTGGAGAATGGCTCATATTCTTATAAATCTGAGTTTTTTAAAATATATTTTGGAAATTAAATCTTTATTCAAGAAACTTGCTGCAAAGATTACTTAACTGATTTCCTTCTCATTTTAATTGCATTGGTTTTGTTTGTACAAAAATATTAACTTATGTAATCAAAACTGTCTATTTTATCTTTGTGATCCTCTCAGTTCCTTGTTTGATTATGAACTCTTCCCTTATCTATAGATCTGAGAAGTAATTTCTTCCTTGTTTCTCCAATTTGTTTATGAGGCAAATTTTTATATCTAAGTCATGCATTCATTTGGTGATTATCATGCTACATGGTGTGAAGTGTTGTTCTAAACCTAATTTCTTCCAGATTGCTTTCTAGTTTTCCCAGTAATTTTTGTGGAGTAGTGAATTCTTACCCCATTAGCCAGAGTCTTTAGATTTATTGAACACTATGCTACTATCATTAGCTTTTCTAAATTGTGTATCTAATCTGTTCCAGTGATAAACATCTTCATTTTTTTTAATAAGACCTAAATCATTTAGATGATTACTGCTTTCTAATATAGTTTAAGATATGGTATTGCTAGTAAAGATCTTATTTATTTATTTATTTATTTTTAGCCAATACCAAAGAGTTTTGGTGATTACTGCTTATATTATTATTTAAGGTCTAGAAGTACTATTCTTCTTCTATTCCTAATTTTTTTCATTTTTTTCCATAACAACCTAGGCCTTTTGTTTCTTCAAATGTTTTATAATATTATTTTGTATAGCTCTGTAAGACAGTTTGATTGGTACAGCATTAAATTTGTAAATTAATGTAAGTAGTATACTTTTCATTTTATTTTCATGGCCCAATCATGACACTGAATATACCTTCAATCATTAAGTCATTCTTGATTTTGAGTGTTGTATAATTTTATCTCTATAGATCTTAAATGTGCCTTGGAAGATTGACTGAAGGATTTTTTTAAAAGCATTTTGTGGTTATTTTGGTTGGGATTTCCTTCCTTTTATGTCAATGTCTCATTTAGTTTCTTTGTTGGTTCCCTGAGGTAGTCTGAGTAAGTTACCATGAATTACCAAATAGGGTTAATTTTGGCTCTTCTTTGCCTATTATTATGACCCTAATTTATTTTCCTTGACTTATTGCTAACTCTAACTTTTATAGAACTATGTTAAATAGCAACAGAGAAAGGAGGCTTCCTTGCTTTGCTTCTATATTGATTGGGAAAGCTTCTAGTGTTTCTGCATTTCAAATAATGCTAGCTTTAGGCTTTAGGAATATATTTTTTATCATGTTAAAAATGTGCCTCTATATCTGTGCTTTAAAGAGTTTTTATTATAAATAAGGCCACTGAGTCTTTTTCTACAACCATTCGTGTAATCCACAATGAGTTTTAGAGACTTGTTTGTCCACAATTTGGCATTAGCACCATCACTTAGTTGTTCACTGCTCCTGGCCTATCTATTCTTACAGGCTCATTAAATGAAATCCTCATTTATTACGTAATCTGAGCCCTTTCTTTAAGTGAGGGCTATGTTTAGAATTTCAACGTGTTACTTATAAATGATAATGTGTATAGGTAAAAGAATTGCAATAGTATCAGGAGCATATATAAGGCTCGCACTTTGGCCTTTTGCCTGCCTGGGGATGCTGAGTTTGAATCACTCATTTCAGGTCAGAATGGAAAAAATCCATCAGAATCAATTTCATCTCCTGGGCCTCTGGCAAGAGGTTTCTAGAACTAGCTCACCACGACTCAGCAACAGTGCCCGGTATTCTGTGAGCATGGAAACTTTCTTGACACCTCTTAAACCTTCTGGCTTGAAGGCATGGCACAAATGAGATGGGAAAGGGGCCCCGCCAGCTGAGAAAGGATTTGTAGCGGCAAAAATGTGGCTCTGCTTTGTCTCAAAGGCAGAATCACTCTCTTAATACAAGCGGGCCCAGAAATCTCTTTCAGCTGCGTTTCAAATGTTTTTCATCTGTGATGTATGTGATAGGCGAGAAATTGAATCCAGTAACTGTGCTTGAAGCAAATAGGTTAACTGTTATGGGGCTAATTCTCACTTAGCCTTCATGCTGTGTATTTTATGCTTTCCAGAGGGCTTCCCCATCACTTATATCGCTTTTCCCAATATTAGAACTAGGAGATGAAGAGATGCTATTATTCCCACTCCACAGATAGGAAAACTGAGGACCCCTGCCCAAGGCCATTTCCCTCAAATATTTGTGCCATAGATACATAGCACTTCATTAACACTTCCTGGTGTATAGTTAAAAGCAGATCTTAATTCCCTCCAAACTGCCTTGTATTTACTACCTTATATTTTCTTTGTATTCATTCTGTATATACTTTTATACATCCTTGCTGTCTTCCCTCTTATAATGTAAGTTCCTTGAGAGTAGGGATTGTTTCATTCTTTGTATTTGCATCCTCAGCTCCTAAGCTCCCAGCACAATGCTTGGCATATAGTTGATGTTAAATTAGTGCTTGTTGATTGATGACTGATTGATAGATGGATTCTCTTGGCTTTGCCAAGAATTTAAAATCCAGTACTTACTGATGAAATGAAAGGAAGATCAGAGAATAAAATTCATGGTATCTGAAGTTTGAGATCAGTTTTGAGATGTCTTGGATGAGATTTGCATAAATAGCCTTTCTTTAAAAAAAATCTTGGTCCTTAAATCTAAAATAAAACAGAAGTATTTATCAATCTTTTGGCCAGACAGTTCCTCCTCATTTTACCCAGTCCTTTCTACACTCTCTGGATCACCAGGTAAGAACATAT